TGGGCGGCGCTCGCGCGTGGGCCGCCGGCGTCATCCGCCTGTGTTGCGATTGGGCTGTTTCTTTGTTGTTGGCTTGTACAGGGCTTTGTAAATCTTGGAGATTAGCCCTTTGTGAGTTGTTATGTGCAATTTTCAAAAATTTAATGACTTTTTTCTACATTATTGCTCATTTCTTTTTAGATTGATTTATTTACACATAGAGGAACTGGGGTGGGGGGTGAGAAGATTCCCCAGAGGCAGTGGGTTTGCTGAAATACACTGTTAATGGGAGCCGGGCGAGCTGGCGAGGGCTGCACCACGTGGCTGAGACTAAGCGCCAGGCTGCCTGTCATGCGCATTTCTGTGTAATGTTTGATCCCCCCAGGTGTAGTCTCCCCAAAACTGCCAGCACCGCGCCACCCGGAGCCGTCACCAGAGTCTCTTGTGCTCTTCCTGCCCTGCTTTGTCCCCTTGTGTCTTGCGTGTCTCTGTTTATAATCTGCCTGCTGCTGTGTCTCTTCCCCGAGCCTAGGTTCGGCTCCCCGGATTCCTCCTGTGCTCAGCCCGCGCGTTCTTCTCGCCGGCCTCTGGCTGACGGCGCTGAGCGCGAGCCCTCCCGCTGCATCGTGCCGGAGCAGATGGGCGATGCGTCCTTCTGGTGACTGGCGCCCCCGTGTGCGGAGGCCGCATCTTGAGCCAGTCATCTGCTTTGGGCACTTGGGTGGTGTCCGGATCTTGGCTGTTGTGAACAGTGCTGCAAAACATCGGGGTGCAGGTTTCATGCCTTTTCATGTTGTTGTGTCCTTTGGGTAGATCCCTAGGCTGGGCCCTGCAGCAGGTCCCTGTTCAGTCATCGGAGGGTCCTCCACATGGCTCTCCGTAGTGGCTGCACTGTCAGCACCCCCAGCAGGGTAAGAGGGTCCTTTTCCTCCACATCCTCGAGGGTGCTTGTCAGCCTTTCAAGTGTAGGCCGTTCTTACTGGTGTCGGGTGTTCTGTCGTGGTCTTGATTTGCATTTCCATGATCCAGAGTGATTTTCAGTACTTTTCTCATGTGCGGTTGGTCACCTGCATCTCCTTAAAAAGTGTCTTTTTAACTCTGCCCACTTTTATTTTTTTTTGAAGACTTATTTATGCACACAGAACTGGGGTACAGGCCAGAGGCTCAGGGGCGGTGAGAGGCTTCACCAGACACAGAGCGGGGAGCAGAATAGGCAGATCGACGAAGTACACTGCTGAGGGGGGCAGCAGGCGGGCCAGGAGCGGTCTGCGGCACCTTGTGGGCCACCTCCAGGGTGGGGATCGACTGGCACTGAAGTGGCTGCAGCCAGCTTGCAGTGCTGGGTCCTAAACCACTGCGCCACCTGGGGGCCTTCTGCCCATTTTTTGACGGGATCCTTACTGTGCTGGGTAAGCTCGCTGTAGAGCTCTGTGATTGCTTCCTCAGCAGCTGTGTGGAGCAGGGACATTTCCTGCCAGTCTGTAGGTGTCTCTTCACATTGGTTAGTGTCTCTTGCTGGATATACAAATGTTTGTGCCTTTGGGTTTTTTTTTTTTTTTTGATACTTTGTCTTGAGGTACAGTGGCTTTGGGTTTGGTCACCCCACTCGTTGATGTTGACTTTTGTTTCCCTTGCACTGCGGTCGCGTCCCCCGCCGTGGCTTTGTGTACGTGACCTGTGGCGTGTCCGCGAGGTTTTCTCCCAGGTCCTTCTGGTTTGGGATCTGCCATCCAGACCTCTCACCCATCTTGACTGGTGTTTCTGTAGGACCTTAAGTTTGGCCCTCGTTTCAGGTATTTGCAGGGGGCTCGCCGTGTTCCCAGCACCCCGATCCGAGAGGCCGCCTTGGCGGGCTGGGGGCTTGGGGCGGGCCTTGTCTGTGCCGGCTGGCTCCTTTGTCCCAAGACTGACTGTCCCACGGGCTTGTGTGGGCGCCTGCCCCCACTGTGCCCTGTGGCGGTGTTTGTCCCGGCACCCGCTGTCGCCGTTACTGTCGCCGTGTGGTGACAGTTTGCAGCCAGGAAGTGTGTGACACCAGCACTTGTAATCTCTTCTTTCCGGAGTGTTTAGCTATTCTGGGCCTTTGTGGTTCGTGTCAACTTGACACTTGTTTTATTTCCTTGAGCAGTTGTTGCTGTTTGGTAGCTGTGGCGCCGACTGAGTCGCGTCGGTGGGATGGCCATTTCCGTGGCGTTAGCCTGCTCTGAGCCCAGGCTCTCTGTACTTCTTTTGGTCTTATTTCTTGAACCGTTCTGTAGTGTTTTTTTTTTTTTAAAGATTTATTTATTTACGCATCCAAAACTGGGGTACAGGCCAGAGTGCAGGGGTGGTGAGAGGCCTCACCAGAGACAGAGTGGGGAGCAGAACAGGCCGACTGATGAAGTACACTGCCGAGGGGAGCAGCGGGCGGTCAGGAGGTCTCCTGCGCCCTGGGAGTCACCTTGTGGTGGGGGATTGGAGTCGCACTGAAGCAGCTGCGGACAGCTTCACAGTGCTGCGCCCTAACCCGCTGTGCCGCCAGGGAGGGCCATTTTTATAGTTTTGAATACTTAGATCCTTCAGCTCTTTGATTTCTTCCATATATTTCTCTTTTGATGTGATGTCAGTGGAATGATATTTCTTGTTGCCCTTTTTTCTAATCCTTTGTTTATATATAGAGATGCAACTGATTTTTAAAAATTTTTGATATTTTAAGAATTCATTTCATATTTATGTTAACTAGAGCTGGGGTGTAGACCAGAGAGGTGTGTGTGTGGGGGGTTGGGTGGTGGTGAGTGGATTCCCCAGATGGAGTGGGGAGCAGAGCAGGCACATTGACTGAAGCCCACTGCTGAGGGAGCAGTGGGGAGACAGAGGTCAGCTGTGGTCTGTGGGTCACTTCTTGCCCGGGATCGAACTGGGGCTGCAATGGCTGGTGACAGCTTGATAGCTTGAGACTTAACCCCTTGTGCCACCGGGGGGGACCTGGTCCCTGACTTTTTAAATTGGGTTTGTGTTCTGCCACTTCACTGTGTCCATGAATGATTTTTAGTAGTTTTTGGCTTCTCTAAATATATCAACATGTCGCCTGCAAATAAAGACAGTTTCACTTCTCTCTCTCTTTTTAAAGATTTATTTATTTATGCATACAAGAGCTGGGGTACAGGCCAGAAGTGTGGGTGTGAGAAGATTTTCCAGAGACAGAGTGGGGAGCAGAACAGGCAGATCAATGAAATGCACTGCTGAGGGGAGACAGGAGAGGTCTGCTCTCCCCAGTGGGTCACTCCCCGGGGGTCACTCCCCGGCCAGGGATTGAACTTGTGCTGCAGGGGCTGCCGATAGCTTCAGAGTGCTGAGACTTAACCCCTGCCACCAGGGAGGGCCCAGAAGTTTCACTTCCGTCCAGTTGGGTTTCTTTTGTTTTTTCCTTGCCTGATTGTTCTAGCTCAGACTCACTAGTGGTGACTGTGGGCATCCTGCTGGGTCCTGGCCTTGGCGGGGCGCTTTCAGCGTGGCACCATCAGTATGGCGGCGGCGGGTCTGTCAGGTGGCTTTAAGCGTGTAGACTGGCCCATGCATTCCCCTTGGTGTTTTCGTCAATGGGTGTTGAATCGCCCTGAGAACTTTGGCTTCTGCTGAGACTCATGTTTGTCCTCTGCCATCTGAGGGACGGCAGCTTTTGGTTTGAATGTGGGAAACCCGCCTTGCTGGGCTGAAGCCTCCTTGGCGGTGGGTGACCTTTGCTTCGTTGCTATATTCTGTGTGCTGGCTTTTGTGAGGACTTTTGTGCCTGCGTTGATCAGGAATATGGGCCGACGCTTCTGCTTCTTGGGGTTGTCTTGCTGGCCACTTTGGGGTCAAGGCAATGTAGGCCTCATGGGATACATTGGGTGCTTTTGCTCTATCTTTCTTCCTGAGGGCTCGAGTAGGAGAGGTATTGGATTTTCTTTGAAGGTTTGCTAACTAGTTGGAGAAGCCATCCGGTCCTGTTTCAGCAGTTGTGATTCGGCTTGCTTTCTGTGGATAAATTTAGACTATTAACATTTTGGGTGATATTGATCTAAGCTGTAATATCAGTCATTTTTTGTATTTTGATAGTTTTAATCTTCTGTTGTCGCTTTTTCCATTTGTCCTGTTTACTCTTTTCTCGATGACGTCCCTTAGTATTTTGGCCCATTTCTTTGTGCTTCTCTGTTTCAGATTTTGTTATAAGTAAAAGCCCGAGGGTAACCAACAGCCCACGGTCTTAAGTCCTCGGAGAGCTGGTGTCTGCTCTCCCACTGTTCTGCCTATAGGCTCAGAGTATGATGACAGTAAAATGTGCTTTCCTCTAAATTTCAGAGAAGTTGGAGAAGATGAGGGATCATGAACGCAATGAAGAAACCTTTACCCCGATGCCTAGCCCGTATTACATGGAACTTACCAAACTCCTGCTCAACCAGTAAGTATGTCTCTCCTAGACCGCCAGGGAGCTGAGTTGGGGCTCTGGCCTTCCAGCCCCACCGCACAAACGTGTGTGGCCAGCTGTCCATGTGAGAGGGAATGGCTGTAGCCAGGCGTTTGCAGGGAGGCTGGCGAGGGACTGTGTGGGCACGTTCCGAGCGGCAGGGTTCTGGGGGTCACGCTGGCCCCCCACCCTTGTGAGTCGAGCAGACAGGATGAGGCTGGGCCTGCCTTGGCCTCCGTCCCACTTCCTTCACTTGAGCCTGCCTCTGGTCCGGCCCGCTGCTTGTGACCTCTTGCAGGGTGACAGCCCGAGCCAGCCTTGGGCCAGAGGGCACCAGGGACCTTCCTGAGGCAGAGAGGGGGCGTGTGGCCCTGGCGGGTCGCTTTGCTTGGGGGCTGTTCCTGCCTGGAGGCGCCGCGGCACTGCTGTCCCCGTGGCTGACCGTCATACGTTCTCTCCGGGCAGCTTTGCCCCTTTTCCTTGGGGTGCGCGCTGGCCAGGAAGGCCAGAGGGCTCCCCTTGCCCCGAGCCTCAAGCAGCGAGGACTGCCTGCCCCTGTGCACCCTGCGCCGCTGCCCCTGGCCGCCCACTGCCCTCCGCTTCTGACCCGCCGCAGGTGGCTGCCGCGCGCCCTCGAGCACACCACGTGGCGTCCGGCCTGCTTTCCTCCGCGGGTGTGTCCGCCTGTGGTCCAAGCTCCCCCGGTTTCACCCGGCATGGTCCTCGGCCGGCCCTGTGATTTCGCGCTCCCTCCTGGGCAGCGCGGCCGAGGGCACTCGTCCGTGGGCACTCCTCATCGGGCGGGCCCCTGCCCCCACCCCTCCCGCACTGCCTGGGCCCTGGCGGCAGCCAGGGACTGCGCTGGCGCACCAGCACCGGGCCTTGTTCGCTCTCCCTTGTTGGGACGAGCACAGGGCAGGTGTACTGGGAACCGGAGCTCGAAGGCCTGCGGCGCCTTTTATTGCGGGGCTGGGAGCTGACCCGCAGAGGAGCTAGGCGCCTTCGCCTGCCTGCCAGGGAGCCCCGCTGGCAGTGCTCATTCAGTGCTGGCTTGGGGCCATTCGTGACCCGGAGGCGGACAGTCATGCAGGCTGGACTCCCAGTTCAGTGCCGGGGTGGGGGGCGCGACCTGTTCACACGGGTGGTCGCAGGCAGTGCGTGGAGGGGGCGGGGTTGCAGTCCTGGCGGTGCTGCCGCCAGAGGGGCAAGGGGGTTCGGAGAGCGAGGCCCAGGTAGCAGGCGGGCAGGAGGGGCTGCGGGAGGGAGCTGGGGCTTCCGGTGACCGCCTTGGCGACGGGGTAGAGCGGAGACGGTGCGGGCGGCGGCGGGGCCTGTTCACCTGGCCTTTGAGGGCAGTCGCAGGAGCTGGCGGACGCGCGTCCACATTTCTTAATGAGTCCTGCGGCCCCGGGACCTGATGTTCCCTTTGTTCTGGCTTCACCAGGAGCTTGGGCCCGTGGGTCTTAAGTCAGCCCTGCAGATTGTAGGACCCAGATGTGGGTCTCAAGTTCATGGTATAAAAAATCACATTGAAGCAGAGACCAGGGTGGAGGAGGCAGGGGCGCGGTGACCTAGGGGGAGGACTGGGCGCCCTGGCGGCGGGCTGGGTGTGGCCTCACGCCGAGCGGCAGGGCCGCGATTCTGAGCCCTGTACCGCATGCCAGTGATGCCACCTTCGTTGAGGTCAGAGGCGAAAGTGTGTCTGGAGCTACTGTGGCTGCCAGGAGGTGCGGCCACCCTCTCGCGTGTGGCCATTCTCCCAGTCCCCGCCGAGACCCGAGTGGGACTCACTGACAGCTGGGTGGTTGTGCTGTTAGTCTCCAGATCGCTGGGGGAATCTTGCCATCCACTCCAGAAAGGCCTGGTCATCATGGGAGTGTTGGAGGCATTAGCTGACCCGACTGTGATTATTTCGCAGCAAGTAAGGGTGTCACATTCTCACATGGTGTACGTTAGAAGGGAAATGAAAACATATTTTAATTTTAAACTAAAGAACATTAAAGTACATTGTTTAAAAAGGCAGTGCTGCGCCCGGATTAAACAGCCACGTGACCAGCCCTAGGCACATTAAGTGGCTGAGATCGGATCTCAGTGCTCCCTCCCCTCCCCCGAGCCAGGTTCAGCCTGTGGCCCGCACTGCCAGGCCGCCCTAGTGTGCCGGGGCGGTGCCAGCCCTGCGTTCACCTCCTGTCTGTCTGTCCCTTCACACGCCAACCGGTCGCCCTACCTGGAACGCCGCTCTTGCCCCTCGCTGCCCTGGGCCTGCTGCTTCTGCCCACTCGCTCTCTTCTGTGACTTCCTGCTTTCTCTTTGGCGTGGGATTTGATCTCCTGTGGGGCTTTCCGAGGCCGGGAGTGGCAGGCATGGGGCACAGCGCCTGGCACACAGCCCTCATTTCCTCCTCGGTGGGCCATGGCCCTGGTTGCAGCAGCTGAAGGGTGTGAGCTGGGGAAGGTGTGGTGGGAGCCGGCCCTGCAGGCTGGTGGTGCTGGCAAGTGGGCAGCCGGAGACTGGTCCTGCACATGGGGACACCGGCCTAGAGCAACTCCCAGGAGACCTGGCTCGTGGGTGGGCGGGGCCCGGCCTGCAGCCTGCTGGGCTCCTCAGTGTGAGCACACCACATTGTAAAGAGCTGGGGCCCCTTCTGGGTGGGCGACAGCCACCTCCCAGCTGGACGAGCTACAGCTGACCAGGGCCACCCGCCGGACTTGTTGCCTCTTGCTTCCTTCAGCGCTTCGGACAACATCCCGAAAGCAGATGAGATCCGGACCCTGGTCAAGGACACTTGGGACACGCGCATCGCCAAGCTGCGCGTGTCTGCCGACAGCTTCGTGAGGCAGCAGGAGGCGCATGCCCAGGTGGGTGTCCCAGGCCCAGCCTGGCCAGGGTGCAGCGGGGTGGGGCCGAGGCTGCCGCCAGCCAGCGTCCTCGCCGTGCTCGCTGCTTTAGTTTGAAGGCAGCATTTTCTTATTTTCCTTCAGATCTTTTTTTCTCAGATTCAAAACTCTGTAGCCACCCAGCCTGTCTCTTGCGTTTTAGCTGGATAACTTGACCCTGATGGAGATCAACACCAGCGGGGCTTTCCTCACACAGGCGCTCAACCACATGTACAAGCTCCGCACCAGCCTGCAGCCTCCCGAGCACACTCAGTCCCAGGACTTCTAGAGGAGACCTGGTCTTGGCAGGCCTGGCCTCTGCCGGAGCGGGCACCAGGCACCACGCCGGGCCTCGCCTCTCTGCAGTTCTAGAGCCAACTTGGAATGTGTGAAAAACAGGAGGGGGAAGAACGCTGTCGGAAAGCAAGCCTTCTTGTGCGCGTTTGTCAAGACGCGCGTTAGTGCCACACCTGTCTCTTGCAAGCAGCTGCTCTTTTTGGGGCTGAGAGAACAAAGCTTCTCCAGACAATACAAAGAGTCGGTAGTAGAATCCCACGTCTCCTCAAAGGCGGCCTTCCGGATGAGTGCCCCGAGCTGCTTTGGAAGGTGCACGGGTGTGGCCGAGAGCTTTTTCCGCCTTCCTGAGCTGGATCTCCCGGGCTGAGTCTAGAACGACCGACGGTTGCTTGTGGCGAGCAGGCCGGCAGGTGCACGCCATGCGGTGTCTTGTCATCTCAGCCCGTGCACAATAAAGATGGAGTAAACTGGCATCTCTGGGCTTTTGTGTCAATACTGGGGGAAGGGGCAAGCCCCAGCTAGGTCGCACCGGCACAGGGGGTGTTTGCTTCAGCCAGCTCTTGGGGCGCAGCTGACAGGGATATCCCCGCAGTGCGGGAGGGCAAGACACGGCCCAGGAGGTGTCTAGGTGGGTTAGGGGAGTGTGACAGGTAAGGGCAAAGTCCTTTCCTCTCAGGAAACATTTTCGGTTGTGTCGTCTTGGGATGCGACATCATTCGTGTTTTTGTTATGTCCGGAAGGGCAGGTTTACGCCTACGGGAAGGGAAGCGCGCCGGGCAGCGGCGGCCGGGCGGTGCCCCAGGAGGAGACGTGGCAGCCCGGCGGCCGCCGGCGGAGCGCTGCGGGGGCTGCGTGCTTCTGGAGGCGTCACGCCGAGGAGAAGCCACCGCTGGCAGTGGGCGAGGTGAGTGGGGCATCGGGGCCCCGCGGCCCATCTCGGCGTGGGGAAGGGGGTGTGCGCGATGCCCCGGCACGGGGGACAGCCCAGCCCCGCTGCCTGTGCTGCGAACGGCTGCCGGGCCCGCCCCCCCGGCCTGACCGCTGGGACCCTGCGGGACGCCCCCACGTCTGCCCCGGAGGTGGCTGTCTGCGGGCTGCTTTCTGGGGGCGGTTTTTGCCTTTTTGCTTCCATCCCCGTCAGACTGAGCCGGGAAACACGAGCGTAATGTGGTCTCACTGGGGAAAGGGCCCGGGCCGCAGCCCTGGCGCCGTGGGCGGCCAAGCCCTGGCTCCCCTCCCGGGCCGTAGCGGTGAGCCCTCTCGGAGCGGGCGGCTTGTGACACAAAAGATGCTCCTGTGAACATGATTTAGGAAGATTTTATTTTTTGGGTGTTGTCAAAAATTACAGCAATATAGTCATAAATACCTAATTACTACATTCAACAAATAATATTACAATACAGTTAAATCAAACAAGTACACTTAGAACAGGTTTAATTTCACAGCATCTAAACTGCCCCCAGAGTGACCGAGGCACCATCCCTGGTTCCTGCTCTGGCTCGTCAGCGCGGGCACATACAGCGGAAGAGCCAGTGCGCGTGGGCGCGCAGGTCACGCAGAGACGAGGAGTGAAAGTGAAGCGCTGGGTCAGAAGCTGGGGACAGCTACCGTAAGTAGGAGGGCGTCGCTCGCGCCTCGCACGCGGTCGCTACGCGGCTACTGTACACTAGGGAACGGGACCGGCTTGTGCTGTCTCCATCTTGTGGTGGATCTGGGAACCTTCTACGCTTGCCAACACAAGGGGCAGCGGGAAAGGGGTGTTGGCTTTGCTGCTCGCTGTGGTTCTGGGAGCTGGCTGCAGGCGCTGCGAGGCCGCCGGGTCCAGGCGGGCTCCCGCGGGTACTCTTTGGATTCCCGTGAGGGTGCCGCCTACGAGGGTGTTAGTGCCACGTGTTTCACTTCCTTTAGCGCCATGGGATGCCCTCTCTTGATCCTTGCCTGAGACAGTGGCTGGAGAGCGGGACACTCAGGGTGTCAGCTTGGCCCCTCCTACAGACTCATTCCCCAGTGAGCAGGGGGCAGCGCCAGGTTTGGGGGGAGCGCTGCCTGCCTGTCTATCGGCCTGGTGGCACATGGCTGCGCCCCAGGCCGTGAAGCCCCTTCCGAGGACAGCAGCAGCAGCAGTGACTCTCCCCAGATGTGGCAGGAAGACACGAGGTCACGAGGGACTGAGGTCTTCACGGGAATACTGACACGAAGATGGTGTGGTCTGTTCTTTCTAGAGCAAAAACGGGGTGCGCTTCTGGACTTCGTCTTTCCAACTCAAGGGAAATAGCTGAACACAGAGCTTCGGAGCTCTCGTGTCTGCTTGCATCAGGCCCACACTGGAGGGCTCAGGCTTGTACCTTCCCTCAGAACCCTCTGAAAACAAGTGTTTTCAAATTACACCCCTCTTGGAGGGAAGATACCAAGAGTGGGCTGGGTCTCGGCTAGCTTTTGTTCTCAGAAGCGCTCACCTTTCACAGGTACTCACGCTGCCTTACAGGTTGAGTCTGATTGTCTGATCACTACTTACTGAGCCCGGGCCTATTCAGAGCCCCCACAGGGGTGGGCAGTGGGGCAGGGGTGGTAGTATTCTGTGGCAAGTTACTGCCGCAGCCACATCCTGGCGAGGCACGGCAGCCCGCGCCCCACGCTCCTGGGGCTGACGCCCAAGCACAGGAGCCACGCGCAGCCGGCCAGGGCCGGGGCCCTGCTCGCTCGCTAGCTCATCAGGTTACTTGGTGTTTCAGCCAAGGCCACAGCTGACTGGCCAAATCTTGCAGGGGTTTGTGGCAGAGGAGGGCTGGGAGAGAGTGCCAGAGTGGGACTCTGGAGCTGGCAGGCCAGAAACGGCAAAACCTGCCTCGAGGAAATACACCGTCGCGTGCCCTCTCCACTCCTGCCCCTACCTGTGGAACGTGTTGTTTTTGCAGGGGAGGCGGCCCACGGAACAGCCCTTAATTCTTCAAGACATTTCTGTGGAGAGGAAGGCGCTTGTTGACTGCTGATAATACTGGCGGCACTTTTTGTCTGAGTTTGCTAATAACTGGAAGGTTCTTGGCAGACATACAAAGCAAACTGTGGGAACAGATAAAGCGACACAAGGCCATCTGCCAGCAAGCTGTTCTGCACAGCTAAGGTCTGGGGCTGAGGCACAGCCACCGGTCACAGTGAGTAGCCTCCACAAGGTCAGCCAGCCCGCCCTGGCCTGGCCGAAGGGGAAGGGGCTGGGCCTTCTCTCTGCCCCTCCATGGCAGCTCCGGGCCCTGTGGGCCGGGGAGGACCACCCTACCTGGAGAAGCGCTCACAGGCACGCAGGGCCACGTGGCTGTCCGCCGAGGCTCGTCTGCGCTGCGCCTGGCCTCACTGCTGTGGACACCTGAGGACTGGCTTCCCGCTGCCCTGCGTCTGGGAAGGGCCCGCAGAGGCCCACCCCCGGTCTGGATGAACACTCCCCCGGTGGCAGGAGCCGCGGAGGTAAGTAAGGCATGGCTTTCTGTGTGTCCTGGTGCAGCTCAAAATGAAGTATCGCATAGGCGCAGTGGCAAGCTCTTTAAGGTTTCTTTTCCTTTAATTTTTAAAAACACTTCAATATTTTAATGTCCTGACCAGCAGCAGTACAAACACTAAAAGCAAGTTTTTTTTTTTTTGCCCAGGAAAACAAAAAGAAACAAAAAACCCCTAACAGGAAAACAAACAAACAAAAATCCCCCCAAACCACATATTAAAAATGGCAGGCTTTTTATAACAATAATTAAAGTAATAAAAACATACAAAACTTTGTTTTTAATATATATACACAGTACAAGGCTGAAGCACCTTTGACTTTTCTCTCAAAATGTACGCTGTATGGAACGGCCCCTGCGCAGGACGCTGGCGGCGCACGCGGTAAGAGCTTCCTTCGGCTGTGGCTGTGCTCGGCCTTTCCGTGAGCGTGTCCCGGGACGCGCCCGGGAGAGGCCTCAGGACCGTCGCTTTGTGTGTGCTCCTGGGGCCTGGTGCTTTGCAGGCGATTTTGCAGAGGGGCGGGAGGCGGCGCGGGCGGGCCGGGCCCTGACCCTGTGCGCCAGGGGCTGCCGCGGCGAAGGTTAGTGTTGGTGAAGGAGCCTTCCTTTGCAGGGGCAGAAAATGCGGGAAGAAAGAAAACCGCTTCTCAAAGGAAGAACGCGGCGTCCTGCAGGGCTGCTTGCCGGTTACGAGGGGAGTCGGCGCGCTGGGCGACGCGCGGGAGTCCGGGGAGGCCGTTCTTTTTCTGGAGCCTGGAATTGTTTGCTTCATGCATGGCACATTCTCGTTTCTGTAAGCTTCAAACCTCCGAGTGAAAAATATTAAATATTCAAGGTAATAAAATAGAGAATATTTCTATACTATAGGTTCAGCCTAGTGAAGGGAAACCGTCACCTCGGGTATCCCTTAAAGTAACCCCTAGGCCAATGCATTGCAGGTAACGCAAGGCACTTCCGTAAGTGATCCAGTTCCGCCTGGAGTCGCTCCCTTTCGGAGACAATCTTCTGCTTCTGGCTTCTCAGCTCCTGGAGGAGGGGAGGGGAGGAACGGGGTCACCTCGGCTGGTGCACCGCCATGCCGCCCCGACGGGCTGACTGCCGGGCCCGGCCCCACTCACCGCCATGCTGTGGGAGAGCTGCTCCGCCGTGAGGCTCAGGCTGTAGTGCTGGGCCTCCAGCCGCCGGCACTGCGTCTGTAGCACCTGCCGCTCCAGGTCTTGCTCTGGAGAGAGACAGCGCCGTCAGTCGCCTGAAGGCAGCGGCAAGGGCGCTCGCTGCCTTCAGCCAGCCTCCTGGGCTGCGCTTAGGATGTCCTGTCCTGTGCTCTGAGAGGCACAGAAGGGACGCAGATGGCGGGGAAGTGATACAAATTGGCAAAGTGGGGTTGACTTGGGAACTCAGGCTGCTAAACTCAGAGTTTAAACGAAGCTGTCTTCCTCCCCTAGAGACACCAGGCCTGCTCCACACGGGAGTGACCGCCCGCTCACGAGGACGCACTTCTGCGCACAGTGCAGCCAGAGGCCGACACACTTAGTCCAGAGTCGGGACTCTGCGGCGTGGGAAACACGCCGCCTCCCAGTGCCGTGGCGGGCTGCAGGGCCAGGGGCCTCCGACACAGCTTGCCCCCCGTGCCTGGGGGCAGCGCCACACTGCACGCGGAAGGCCTGGTCAGGAGGGCAGCAGACGCGCAACACCCACACCGAGGACCAACTCTGGTGGGATGACGTCACTGGCAAGGGTGTCGGCTCTCCCCAAACCATGCTGGTCGCAGACGGCTCAGCTCTGCAGGGAAGCCAAGGAAGGAGGCCAGCAGAGCCCCCTCCTCTCTGGAAAGGGGTGCGCAGCGGCAAGAAACACAAGGGAGCCTCCTGAGGACGCTGCCTGCCCCACGGTGAGCCCCCAAAGACGCCAGGTTGTGCACAGAGCGACTGCTAAGGCAGCCGAGCCGGGAAAACGCCTGATGGCTCACTCGCTCTCCCCGGGGCAGGAGAACTGACCTGCCGCCAGAACTGCCTGGGGACCTGTGCATGGGCTGTTGAGAACAGCCCGGGAGGAGGGAAGGATGCAAATCTAGGCTGACACAACGCTGCAGCCACGGGACCTCTCCTACAGGTTTGCCTCCTCTGGTTTTACAGCACTTACTTCAAAACATTGTTTGAAGTTCTGACATTGTTAATAAAACTTGTGTGCGCCACATAATGAGAGATCTGGCGGTGGCGTCAGGGTCTGGCTCGCCCCCGTCTCCGGAAGCTGCCGCCTAGGGGTGGGGACCAGGGCCTGGGAGCCAGGATCCCGGCATGCGCCCCTCCGTGCAGCCCCCAGGGGCCCTGCGCGAGCCCCAGCTCACGGGGTGTGCCCAGCTGCCAGGAAGTCTGGGGCTCACCTTCTATATGCTCCTGGTAAGCCTCAAAGATGGCCTCAATCCCTTGCCACCTGCGCCTGGGGACCTCCTCCTCCTCCTCTCCGTCGTCGTCGTCTTCCTCCGAGTCCTGGTCCATCTCCTGCGTGAGGGGGCCCTTCCTCACTGCAGGGGGCTCCGGCTGTCCATTGTGCTGGGGCAGGGGGAGCCGGCTTGAGGACTGCAGCTCGGGAATGTTGTAGTGGACGGATGCGTCCACCTTGTGGTTCTGCTCTGCAGACAGCACCGCTGTGTTCCCTGCAGGGAGGAAACATGCTGTTGGGGTCTCTGGGCACGCTGCGCTGGGTGGCCCTGTCTGGGATGGTCTGGGGCGAGCTGCCCCAGCGCTAGGCAGGCCTGTGACCCCAGGCAGAGAACAGCAAAGAACCGGAGGCTCCCGCGGGCGGGCGTGACCACGGACCACCTCCCGGGCTGCTGGTGTGTGCTGCGGAGCCGGTCCTGACACTTGCTTTCCAGTGGGCTCTGACCCCCAGCCTGGCAGGGGCAGGAGGACATCCAGGCTCCCAGTAACATCAGGGGTGAAGGGCTGAGACCAAACCAGGTAGGAGAAACGTGTTCCAGGGCCGCTAAAAAGCTCCCGCGGGCGCTGCCCTGCTCAGAGCCGCAAGCGTCGGTCTTGGACTCCGGGCGGGCGCCCACTGGGCACTCACCCGCCCGGGCTGTTTCTGAACCACTACACAAGCCTGCTGCCTCTGGGCTGGCCCTGGGCCTCCTTCGACCCCATCACCTTAGAGACACAGCTGAGGGAAGGCCAGGCCGGCCACGTGCCCAGCCGCCCCTGCCCAGCCAGCTTCTGGGCTGCTGGTGACAGCTTCAAGTGGCTCTTGAAGGCTTAAAGTGGCTGCTGCGCTTACGCAGGCCGACTGCCGCCCACCGCGCGGCTGCTCCGGGAGTGAGTACGGGGACCCTCCTGATGCTAGCGACCCTCACCAACACGTCCAGGGCAGTGGATCTGGGGCGCAGGGCTGGGGCCCCACGCTGCCAGGTCCAGGTGCAGCGGGGACAGCCCGCAGCGCTGGGTTTCCTCCAGCCTGGCCCGTGACAGCGCCCAGCCCCCGATCCCGGCACTGCGGCACGGGCACGGGCAGCTCCGCGCCCTACCTTTGTGCTTCTGCAAGGCCTTCTGGGTGGACTGCAGCACGGACTCGTGGAACTGATGTGCAAACTCTTCCGCCATGAAGGGCTCCCACGGCTTGCTCCTCCCGTTGACGCTGTGGGACAGCGGCACGGCCGAGTCCTTGGGCGCCGGGCCCTGGACGCCGCGGGGCGTGCTCGCGCCCTGCTTGCCCCCGGGCGCCTCGCTGAGCCTGGCCTTCTCGCCGCCGGCCAAGTCCGGTGGCCGCAGATGCTCCAGTCGCCCCGGCTCTGTGGCCTTCGGGGCGTCAGACAGGGAGGCGGCGACACCCACGGGCTTCTCGGGATCCAGGGAGGCCGGCGCGGCTGGCTCTTAGAGACAGAAAGGGAGGAAGACATTACGCTCTCAGCGAGCAGGCAGAGCCCTGGCCTCGGGCCCCGACGCCCCAGAGCCGCGCCGGCCTGCACGGCGTCGAGGCAGCCGGTGCGCCGCGCCCTCGGCCCGGGGTGGCTGGCGGCCACTCCAGCCTGGGAAGGCCCGAGAAGCCCTCCGAGAAGAAGCTGGAGAAAGAAGCAAGTTGTTTCCGATCGTCCAGAAAGAAGGAAGCCGGGAAGCCCGACCCGCCAAGAAAGCCCTGCCGAGATGTGAGAAACAGATCTCGCGCTCCGCTCTGCGCCGCCGCGCCCAGGCCGCAAGAGCAAAGATGTGAAGATGGCTGTGAGAGGCCAGGAAGGTGCGAGGCGCAAGACCGCCCGGGCAAGAGGGCTGGTGAGGGTGGACACAGCAGCAGGCGGGGCCTGGCTTCAGGCCCCAGACGGACACCTATCCACTGGCCCCGGCCACTCTGGAGGCCGGTCCACCCCCTTGAGCGCTGACCGCTGAGGCTCCTGCTCCTTCCACTCCTAGCAGATGCCTGACCGTTGTGCAAGCTGGTAGAGAGAAGCCAAGCAGCGCCGTTTTCAGAGACAGGCTGACGATGACGGCGCGTGGTCACGAGGCCTGGGCAGCCTGGGGACCGTCCCGAGCGGCTGCGGAGGGGCCACTGGGCCTTACCGCTCAGGGAGCCGGCAGGACTGTCCCTCGCAGAGGTCCTGAGCGAGTCTGCCACTGCTGCCGACAGGGCCTTCTGCTTCATGGCATGCAGCATCTCAACAAGCCTCTCCTTGTCTATGGGAAAAGCAGCCTGAGTTAACACGGTGGGCGCGTCCTCCTGAGAGGAAGGAGAGCAGGCCGCCGGCCCAGGCCCGACGGGAGGATGCCGCCAAGCACGCGGTGCCCCAGGGGCAGGCGCCCCGGGAGCAGCTGTCACGCAGCCTGGTCCCTCGAGGCCGCCGCCACCTAGCCTCTGAGCAGCATACCCAGAGCGGCCGCGGGGCCGGCGCTGGCACGGGGGCCAGGCCCCACCGCCAAGGTGACTCCTGACGATGTTTTTCTATTTTCAAGACCAAAAGCCCCGAAACACTGGCCCGACAAGGATGTGGGCTGATGACCCCACACGCCAGGAGGTGCCCCCGTGGCTGCCCCTCACGGGCTGGGGACGCCCGTGGCTGCGACAGCCGCAGTGGCTCCCGCAGGGATGAGCGGGGGGAGGCGCTGCCTAGAGACCACTGCGGTGGCGCCAAGGACTCGGGCGGGCGAGCAGCTGCTGCCCCAGATGGAGCAAGGACTTGGGCTTTGATCACAGACCAAGAGGGAGTGGCCCTGACCTGTACAAGCGGAAGCGGCGAACTGATCAAGCACTTTCCAGAAAGAAGATTCCAGGAGTCAGAGTGGGGGTTGGCGCAAAGAAGCACCCCAGAGAGGGCAAGTTCTCATCTGAACAGCCTGGCACTAAGCCCTGGGGCAGACCAAGGAAGCGGATGGACCCTTCCAGAGCTGGTCTGGGTGACGACAGCCCTGGGACCATGTGATCTAGAAGCATCTTTCAGGGCAAGCTGCCCACTTGCAATGAGGGTTGGCTTTGCCAGGCCAGACACCCTAAGCCACTGGTCTTCAGAAGACAACAGGCCTCCGGAGAGGCGACTCATCTCAGGAGAAGAGAAGCAGGGTGGGACTCAGCACTGAGGCTGCCACACCCCCCGTGTGCCTGGAGCCGGGCCAGGCCTGCGCCAGGCCTCACCTCTCCTCTTCTCGGCGCTGATGTGTGTGAGGTTGAAGATGGTCAGGAACTTCTTCTTCTCCTCAAAGTTGGGGCTGTCGTTCATCTCGTCGGGACTGTAGCGGGTGGACAGCGCCAGTCTCGGCGAGGGCGTCTGCCGCTTGCTCTGGACCGTCGGGGGCGACGGGCTTCTCTCTCTCAGCATCCGCCGCCGCTTCCTCCGCTTCTGGGTCAGCAATTCCTCCTTCTGCTGTTGGGTGGTCAAGCCAAAAAGTTGCAAAAACTCTAGCTTCTGGAGTGGAAAGAAAACAAAACGTGTTTGACATGCCAGCAGAGGCGACACATCCAGGGTCCCGGGAGGGGAGGGCGTGGGGGGCAGGTCGGCAGCCACAGAGCAGCAGCCGGCCCTTCCCCAACTCGGTGTCCCGAGCCCCAGGTACCTCGGAGGACGTGTCCAGCTTGAGGGGTGGCTGCTCAGCCACGCAGCGGAGGTGGGCCCTGACCTCCTCCTCGTCGCTCTCGTCGTAGGAGTCATCCAGGTCGTAGTAGTATCCTGCGGGTGACACGGGCAGCTTGGGCTGGGGGCATGGGGCACAGAGCCGCCACTCCCGGCTCCCTCCAGGCCAGCTGGGGGCGCACCACCAGGCTGCTTTTGGCCCACGCGAGAGACCGCTGGCTGCCACCTGTCTCTTGCGAGGGGCTGTCCCTCACTCCGGCCGGGGCCGTGTCCTCGGCAGCCCACGCTGCTAGGACACAGCCATTCCCTCCTGCAGCGGCCCTCTGGGCCCTCTGTGGGGTGGGGTGTGGAAGGGGCACACCACATCCTTGTCCTCCCGAGGCAGAGGGCAGGTCTCAGGTGGACACGGCGCAGGTCGGAGGCGCACAGTCCTGGGGCCCTCAGCCTAGCCCAGGCCGCGCCTGGGAGACGGAGCTGCGAGCCAGCTTCCGGCGAGGGGAGGGCAGTGCCCCAGCTCCCTCGCTGCCCATCTGTGCTGAGCTCTCTGTGGACCCAACACGCCGCCCAGACCCCGCCGGCCCGGGCCTGCTCGCGGCCCTCTTCCATCCGGCTGAGGATTACCATTCAGAGCCCTCCAATGATCCGCTTTATCGCTTACGATCCCGTGGGTGTTGTTTTTGGGGACAGTGCACCCCACTGTGCCGGGCAGCTGCACAGAAGCCCCCAAGGCCCCAGAGCAAGCAGCAGGTATGAGAAGGGGGCAGGGTCGGGGACGCACCTTTCTCCCGGGCCTCTCGCCGCCTGCGCTCTTCCAGGTCCAGCTTGCTGACCAGCCTCCGCCGCTGCTGCAGGAGCTCGTCGAAGATGTAGGCAGGGTCAGGGCCCCGTGGTGCCGGGGGTCGGTAGGGCGAGCCTGGCTTCAGGGGCCCACTGAGCTCCCCAAAGGCAGGCGGCTGTGTGAGGGAGGCCCGCGGCTGGCCCAGGAGGGTCTGGGTGGACTTCTCGAGCTCAGCCAGGAAGGGCCCGGGCCCGTGAGGGAAGCCCTGGTGCTCCAGGCTCCCTGCCTCCCGGGGGGGCGGCTGGTACTTGTCCAGGGGGGTGGCCTCGCGCTTCCTGGACCCCTCGTCCGACTTCTCTGAGCAGTAGACCCGTTCCACCTTCACCAGTGGCACAGCGGCCGGGCGGCTTGGCTCAAATGGGGCCGGGTGGCTGTGCAGGGGGTGGCTCTCGGGGGCCCGCCGTGGCTCCAGCGTGCTGTCCATCAGGGACACTGGGTTCCAGAGCGCCGTGGGCATGGAGTGGTGCTGGGGCTTGGGTGAGATGAGGGGCGGGGGCCCGCCAAAGTGCTGCGGGGGGTCTCGGCCACCTGGCTCGTGACGGTTCGGTGCCGGCCTGGGGAGGGAGTGGACCAGTCCCCTGTGAGCGCAGGGCGTGCAGGGCATGCAGCCCTGGGGGCCGGGGCCTGGCTCACCAGCAAGCCCTCGGGAGCCGGACACCCCTCCGAGGTCAGAGCAGGGGCCCGAGGTCGCGCTGGCCTGGCGGCGGGGCTGCCGGCTGAGGGCTCAGCACAGACCTCCACCTGCCTCGCTCGCTCTCGGGCAGCTCATCCTGTCCCACTGCTCCCCAAAGACTCCTGGCCAGCCCCCCGAGTGCCAAGGGCATGGCCCTCCCTCTGGACAGCGGAGGGGACCAGCTTCCTGTGTGGCCCCCAGGCCAGCAGGACCTGTGCCTCCAGTGCATGTTGGCAGCCAGGCAGACGCGCCGCTGGGGCACGTGTGCCAGAGCCCCCTGTGACCGGGTACTGAGGGCGAGGGGCTTCCAAGCACTCCCAGCTCCGCCTCCCCTCCACGGGGCCTCCACCAGCAAGGAGACAGCCCAGGGACCGGAGTCGGATTTTCACAACCAAGCACGGAGTGAGGCCCTAGGGGGCCCTAAGGCCTCTGTGCAGCAAGCTCCCTGCTCTGAGGCCGAGCACGCCCTCCCCATCACACCCACACTGGGGCCCACCCCTGCAGAGCACCCAGCTTGCGAGGCTGTCCCCGGTCAGTCCCCAGGGCTCGAGGCCAGCGGGGAGGGCAGGCAGCAGCTCCCAGGCAGCCTCGCCGCTGGCCCTGGATCAGGGGAGGCTGTGCCTGGCCCCTCACATTGCTGCTGGGGGCGGCAAGGTCACCCCTGGGGCCCCACTTGGCAGTGGTCACAAAGGCAGGGCTGCTGGGGTCCAGCCAGGACCACCGAGCTGGGGGTGGGCGTGCCAGGGGGCCCGTCCCGACACGGTGCCGTGGCTGTGGGTGACCGCCGCTCCAGGAAGGGGGACAGCTCCCGGCGTCCCCAGGCCGGGCCCTTGGGGTGTGGCGAGGCGCTGGGGGAGGCCGGGATGGCCCAGAGCTTTCCCTCGGGAAATGTTTCCTGATGCGGGGGGTGGGGGGGCGAGAAAGCGCCTCACACCACGCCAGGGCCCGAGGCGGAGGACGCGGGGACCCGCACCAGCAAGTCGCTGCCCTGGCCGGGCGCTTCGGGGGACGGGCAGTGCCCCCGCGCCTACCTGGCACTCTCGGGCCGGTGCTCCGCCTCGGGCGCGGGCGGCCGGCCCATGTCCAGGTGCTGCTCCAGGACCTGCTGCCGGAACTCCGACACCTGCGACTGCCGGTCTTCCTTCTCCTGCCGCAGCCGCCGCTGCCGCGCCAGCCACTTCTCCTCCTCGTTGGTGCGCTGGATGAGCAGGGCCGCCGCGGCGCTGCTGCCGGGCAGCGGGAAGACGGTGTGGCCGGAGAGCAGGCTGGGCACCGCGTGGTGGGGCGTGGGCGCCGGGTGCAAGGGGTGCTGCACGGGCTTGGGCGCCGGCAGGCTGCTGTCCTTCAGCTTCTCTGTGGGGAAGGGCGCGGGCGGCACTGAGCACCGGCCCTGGCGGGGC